AGAAAGTTTAAATAAAAACGAAGATGCAGAAGTGAAAAGACGGAGAGAGTGAAGAGATTTTGATCAAATATGCAGATGTAAGGCGACTTAATGACGCGTATCAGACACGGCTCAGTAGAGGAAAGATGCGTGGCAGAAACGGTTGAAAAATTGTACGTGCCAGCTCATTCGCATGAAGAAAACTCTTGAAGTTCTTGATTTAATGAAACAAATACCTTGGCTAGAAAGACAGTTTCGGCTGAGAAACTTGAACGAATTTGGTTGTTGGTTCCAAAGCCTTGATGAAAGCAGACTATAGGTTTGGGTCATATTGAGCCGACGAGTTCTGACTTCGGCAATAAATAATGAAGCAAGCTTAGCCGACGTGCTAGATAAAAGAGATAATATAGGTTCCATCACCTCAGTTTGCCGAGGTAATAGAACCTAGGGGGCAGTTGTGGGAACATATTTTTTGGGTAGTCCACGTGGCCGAGGTTGTTAGCCGAGGTGCTACGTGGGCAGATCATGTTTGCCGAGATATTTGGGGCACTGCCGAGGTATTCTGCGGCAATACTAGAATCCGAGATGAGCGGATAAGGGACAAGAGTCCTAGAATGGAAGAAGACTTCAATTTGGGTAAAGATAAGACTCTTAGAGAGTTTATCCTAATACTGGGAGTCCAAAATTAGCAGTAATCCTAAATCCATTAAAGTTAGGCTTCTATTGGGACTAGGATTGTGTTAACTATAAAAAAGAGGCACCCCCATGGGTCTAAGGTATGTTTTTTATGCTCTGTCTAGTGTGGTTATCTTTGAGAGATATACTGACTTGATCGTCGGAGTGCTCCCGGGTGAACGAACTACCGCCGGAATCTTCTCCTTCTGTTACAGGTCAGTCAGGTGTCATCTATTCTGGCAGTACTCTCCAGTTGAATACTGAATTGACAGTGTGGTCGAAAAATCACTCACACATTTTTGTATATACTATCATATCATGCATCTTCTCTATTGTTTTTTTTTTTTAAAGAGTGGCGTCAAGATTAAAAATTTTTTGTCAAAATTTTACTCAATATATTTGACTCAAATGGACAACTAGGCCTGGGTCAAGACCAAGCCAATAGGACAAGATTTAGCCTTATTTTAGGTTTTTAATTTTTTGTCAGATTCACGGATTGCCTTTCTCTGGTCAAGTCATCAAGTTGGATCGAAATTCAATATCGAAATACAAACCAAGCCTTATTCAAATTAACTCAGTATATCTAAAATACGAGCTTAGATGAGGCAAAAGCTCGATGAACCAATTAGGCCATAAGTTTAGAACTAACTAATGATCCTTAGATACAAGTGTCCCAATTCCTAAAAAATACTTACAATTAATGTGTAAAAAAGAAAAAAGAAAAATCAAGCCATGTGTAAATATCTTCTATCCATTCAAGAAGTTCAAATACAAAAAAATACTAAAACAATCAAAGCCATGTGCATGCATATGTCTGCGGAATAAATCAATCTTTGGATTGGAATGAATGGAAATGAAGGAATCAACAAATACAATCTATGTATCTATCATGTTCAACACACAACACAACACAACACAACAACCCATCAAGGGATGGAGGGGGTGCTTATCACCAACCCTTATCTCTACATTATATGTGTGGGCCCATATCGGTGGATCGTCGTAGAAATGCCAGCTGGCTAATTTTATTTAAAATAACAAGCCATATGATTGGTCCTTAAATGGCGGGCTTGATTGTTTGTTTCTTCCAGCGAAGCCACGTGATAGATAAACTTGTGAAGCCCAAGCTTTGTTCCAACGCATACAAACAAAAAAAAAATTATATATATAATATATTAAATTAAATTACACCACAAGTAATATTAAGGGTAATCAAGTAAGCAAGTTTATAATTGTTTATCAAAAGAAAGAGAATCAATTGTAAACTTGTTTACTTCGGAATAAATAGTAAATTAAGATATCTTAGTTTTAGGTCTTGTTTGCCAACATCACTTTTTAATTTAAAAATCAAAAAATTATTAAAAAAATTAAAAAGTTGATGATCTATACTAAAAAGTCAAAAATTTTACTTTCTCTCTACTTGTTGCACCTCTTTTCATAAAAAAATAAAAAAATCATTCTAAACATACTAATTTTTTTATATCATATTTTAGTCAAAAAATTAAAAAGTTACTAAAAAAAAACATGTTACCAAATGAGGCCTTAATTCCTCTGGTTGTTTGTCCAATCTTTAATTGATAAATAATTACAAATATTCACTATGATGTGATTCTACCTTAGGGGAGATTCTTCATCAAAAAAAAAAAAACTTGCCTATTGCCTATTTGGTGGACTACATTGTGTATTTTCGGTATCTAAATTGTTAATTTTTTGTCCTGCGGGTAAATAATTATGAAAAAAAAATCAATTTTTTTTACGAAAGTAAGACATACAAAAACCAAGTCAATTAAAAAATGAGTAATATTATAGATAAATAAAATCTTCACCTGATTTTCTTACCATTACAAAGATAATGAGATTCATATTAATAAATACAAACCTATAACTTTATGTATAATGATAAAATAATAATAATAAAAAGAAGTAAAAAACCTTCTTTATGTATTGCACCTTTTAAAAAATACTAAAATTAAGTTCTCATTTGGAAATAGGTTATTTTAATATTTTTTAATTTTTTTATGAAAAAAATGTCTAGAAAAATAGAGAGAGTGATGTGATAACTTATAATAACTTTTTAATTTTTTTTTTACTAAAATGTATAGTTGAACAACGAGACCTAATACCCAAAAAATTACTCATAAATTTATTAGAATGGTATTTTGTGGTTGAAATTCAATTATTATATTTTAAAATTTATTGATTAAATAAATTTAAATCGCACAATAATCAGTATGTTTGGTTTCAATTTTTTGAAAATTAAATTTTTTATTTTTCGTATTTTTTATTTTTAGTGAATATTTTTAAAATTTTAAGTATTTTTTTATATGCATCTCACTTAGATGTATCTAAAAAATAAAATATTTGTGAAAAGATATTTTAAAAAATTAATAAATACACAAAAATATGAAAAATATACCGAATTTTTTTTTTGTATTTTGTTATTTAGTAAATTTTTAAAAGACTTTTTCACGAAAATTATACTTTTTAAATGTATTTATGTCAAGTGTGTCTAAAAATTAAAAAAAATAATTTAAAATATTAAAAAAATTTAATAAAAACAAAAAAATATGAAAAATAAGAAAATAAAATTTTTTGAAAAATATTTTTAAAAAATTGAAAACAACATAGTGAATATTTTTGAATAAATTTCTAAATTAAAAATATGAATTTGTGGCATTAGTGTTGAAAACACACACTACATTACAGATCAGTATCCAAAGGTTTGATTGGGTCCCACAACCTGATATCGCCACCTATGACTCAGGTGATTGCCAGCTGTCACCTAACCTTTTTCTCATTCTACCCCTTAGATTCCCTACCTATTTACGGAATCAATCCTCTACTTGATTGGAATCATTTGAAATAATAATACTAATAATACTAAATTAATTAATTCAATCAATGCTAACTCACAACGAGGACCCCTTGTGGCCCTGCATGGCTATATCTAAACTTCAGTTGCACAAACCGACAGATCATGAGGGGTAAAAAAGTCTTTTTGTATGGTTATTTCCTGTAGTTAAGGGGCCCCCTAATGTCTTATTTGGTCATGTCATGGAGCAATTTATTGTGTTACTAATTTTTTTTTTTTTTTTAAATTTATGCCACGGTGTTTATATGCTTTTAATTTTTATTTTATGATAATTAACCTTCAATTTGATAGAAATTCCATCACACATACCTTATGTGTTTTGCGAGAACGGATCTCTTCCATATACCACTATCATCCATATCTTTTCGTATTCTATTTCATGAGTCTTATAAATTTAGTGATGTGTCAAGAATATAATTAATTGATAATTAAAAAATATTTAATTATCAACTATTTATCTTCTTAACATATCACTAAATTTAGAAAATGGGTTTAACTTTTAACCCGAATAGCAATAGTCTAAACATAATTTCATCGGATATCACTAGACACACAAAAAAAATTTATATTTTATTTTTGGATAAATTGTAAATACACCCCTTAAAATTTGATTAAAATACGAATTACCCCTGTATTTCTAGAAATTACATTTCACCCATTGAGGTTTTCAATTTCATAACAAATCGCTCATTTTATTAATAAATCATCAAGTCAATTAATAGTTTTTAATGATCTTTAAAATATATTTCAATTAATAATTTAAATAATTTTATTATTGTATAGGAGAGCAATTATGAATTTTATTTTTTTTAATTAATTCTGTAAATGAAAAAATCTGACAAGGGGGTATTTGTAATTTTTCAAATCATAGAGACAATCTGTATTTTAAGTAAACCTTAGGGGGTGTATTTGTAATTTACCCTTTATTTTTAAAAGTAGATGTCAACTATAAGTTTGAACTTAAATTATTCATTTTATAAAACAAAATATAATTTGTTCATCAATTTATCAAAATCCGATAAAATTAATTTTTTAGACAAACAATTTTCACTATAGAGTTTTAAGCGCTTGTTTGGGATACCTTTTGGAACTAAAATAGTCATATAAAACAAAATAGATTATTTTAGTTAAATATGACAAAATGTCACATCCAACTCATAATTATTTTATTTTTTCTCTTACAAAAGTTAAAAAAGTCAAAAAATTTATTCCGACTAAAATAATCAAAAAGTCAATCTACATCCCAAACAAGATATAAACAATACAAATCATTGTTGTGGACCCAAAGTGATTCTATCTAGACCCAAAATAGGGTTCACAAAATAATGTATGAAAGGATATAGAACACATTTGATGTAATTAAGGCTAGAAGACATTCCCGTGTTTAGCTCAAAAGGCTTGAAGAATGGCGACAGAGGAGGAGGGGTAAAGGGGTCATTTTAAGTGGGTATTTAACGTAATTAAGTGTCCACATAATGGGTCATTTGGTCTGGAGCACGTCTCTATTGTGAGGACAAGCTCAAAAGCTTGAAGAAAGCCCTTACATTTTGGCTTGATTTGGAAGCACAGATTGGCTACAAAACAAGTCTCTCTTTCTCTTTGATCGCGAGACAACACATAGCCACATAGCAGAACATATCGAAGTAAGTTTCTCGAAAAAAAGATAGATATTCTTTCTCATCAACTTCTTCATCTATATATGTTTGTTTAAACAACCTTGAATTTGAAAAAAAAAACATATATTGAAGAAATATTAATCTGGGTTTTTTTTTTTTTGTTATTTTAATTTTTTGGGTTGGTGAGTAGATTGAAAAAGGAGATAAGATCGTATCATGGATTACTGGAAAACAAAGGTTCTACCAAAGATCAAGAAAGTTTTCGACAAGAACAGTACCAAGAAGGCTGCTGCTGCTGAAGTTTGCAAGACCTTCGATGACTCTAAGGTTTATCTTCTATTTCTTTTCTTTTCCACTTTACAACAAAGTTCTTCCGTGGTTTTTTTAATTAATCATGTGTGTGTTGTTGGCCTGTTTGTTTGTATATTCCTTTTTCTGTTTTCAATTTTTATTTTGTTAAAAACACAAGTTTGGCAAAACGTTTCCAAACCGTTTTAAAAAAAAATACAAAATACAAAAATTGTTTTCTCCTTAAACTAGAAACGAACTTTTTTTTTTATAATTTTTTGTCTTTGAAAACATGAAAAAAATAAAAATAAAAAATATTGAAAATAAGAACACAATCAAAAGTTCTAACTTGCCAAGTAAACTCAGGAAGAGTACAGCAAGGAGTTTGAAGAGAAGAAGACTGAGCTCCAACCTAAAGTTATTGAAATCTACGAGGCTTCATCAACTGAGATCAAGGTAAAAACCACCTTCTTCTTCTTTGTTTTTCTTTTCTTTTCTTTTTTCTTTTTCTTTTTCCTTTCTTCAATCAAAAAACACCTATCATGAAAACATCTAAACAGTTCTTCTACTTACACAAAAATTGATTTCTGTATTCATAAAACTTTTTCAGATCCAAAAAGCCATAAAGAAACTACATATACAAAAAAACAATTTCTATATATATGTATATACAAACCAAACACTTGTACATATTCATGTGTATTTTGAACTAACTTCTCTGTATTTCTAAAAAAAATAAAAAATAAAAAAAGGCTTTGGTTAAGGAACCGAAGGATGCAGGCCTAAAGAAGCACTCCGCCGGAGTTCAAAAGTTGCTCGACGAGCTCGTTAAAATCGGTACCTTCATCCTCCTCTGCTTCATTTTTTCTCCTTTGATTGCAGCTTATAAATTGACTTTTTATTTTATTTTTATTGAATTTTTAAAAATTTGAGTCATTTTTTTTTAAAAATCGGTCAATATCTTCAAAAATATAAATCAGTAATAAGTCAATATTTTTAGTTTTTTTTTTCATTTTAATAGTTGTTTGTTTTCAATATTTTTTAATTTTTAATTTTTTTTAAAAAAAAACTTTTAAAAAAATCATTAAAGGAAAAAATATGCTGAAAAAATATTTCACCATATAAGTTGTGCCAAAGGAGGTGTGCACTTCTTGTTTCTTCTTTTTATTTTATTTTTTTTAAATTTTGCTCCTTCTCATAGGTTTGAAAATATTAGTTTATTTTTATTTTTAGTAGATTTTTTCAATTTTTTTTTTTTTAAAATTAGGATCATTTATTCTAAAAGAATCTAAAATGTTTTTTTTAAAAAAATTCAAAATTAAGAAAATTCTTTATAAAAAAATATGTCAGCTTATATGTTGTGCCAAAAAAATATGGATTTTAGTTCTTTATTTATTTTTCATGTGTCAGCTTAAATGATTTTATCTAACTTCTTTTTTGTAATTAATATTGCTGGGATTGAAGAGTTTCCTGGATCAAAAGCAATTTGTGAAGCATCTTCAAAACTTGGGCCAACTTTGCTTCCGGGACCAATTTTCTTTGTGTTTGAGAAGGTGTCAACATTCATAGTCACGGAGGAGAAAGCGGAGGAGCCACCACCGGAAACCTCGGCAGCAGTGGCAGAAGAAACAGGTGGCAAAGAGATAGTGGTTGAAGAGGGAAAGAAGGAAGAGGTGGTTGCTGTGGTGGCCGAGGGTGAACCGGCAGTGGCAGAGCCACCTCCGACCACCTCGGAGCCACCAAAAGTGGAAGAGCAGGTGGCGGCTGAGCCACCCAAGCCTTGACCAATTTGAGCAAGGAACAAAGAACTTTGTGTACAAGTTCATATATGTAGAGATGGGGAAAAAAATGATTTGTTATTCTTTATTATTCTCTAGACTTTAGATATTGTGATTTGTTTTTGTTTTTGTTTTTTTCGTTTTTGTTTTTGTTTTGTTATTTGTGATATAATTTGTTTTCTTGGGTTTCGAAAGATTTGATGTTCATTATGTGTGTATTGTTGGGTTTCAGTGAATTTGTAATCCTCGTATTTTTGAACTGGAAATGAGAGCCCTCAATTTTTTCTACCTTTTTCTATCTCGGTATTTTCTTTCAAAGGAAAAAAAAAGAAAATATTTAGTGATTCGAATTTTTGTAACTCAAATAATTTAAATGTGTCAAAATAATGTCATTTTATACTTAAAAAAATATCATTTTCAATATTTTAAATGTCATAATTTTCAAATTACCTATCATTGTTGTAAAATAAAATGGTTGTGCCGCAGTTTCAGACTTTCAGTTGTTTGTTTTGCAGTTTGTTTGTCCTATATCTCTCTCTCTCTCTCTCCTGACAGTTTCATTTATTTAAGTTACAGTTTGTCCCTTGTCTCTCCCTTTATTCACTTGTGCGAACATAAGATGTTTGTGAAGTGAGTTTGTTTTGTAAGTTTTTTTTTTTAGTTTTAGGCATATGATTTTGTTTAGTTTTAGAAATCAATTATTTTAATTTATTTTTAAGTCTTTTAAATAAAAAGATATAAAAAAAAATAGAGAATAATTGATTATTGTATTAAATTTTTAATTATTTTAGTTAATTGTCAAAAACAAGTCTGGGTCAACATTAATTCATTAGTAAAATTTTACATTAAATTTTTTGTGAACAATATTTACTCGATAAATATACAATCTAGATATTTGATTAATGAGTTCATTTTTTCATAATTTGTGTAACACAATTGTTAAATTCACATAAATAAACAACTAAAAATTAATTATATGATTATAATTCATTCTAAGGCCTCATTTAAAAATATGTTATTTTAGTAATTTTTTTATTTTTTGACTAAAATATGAGGTAAAAAAAATTAATATGTTTGAAATGATTTTTTAATTTTTTATGAAAACATGTGTAAAAAATAAGAAAAAATAAAATTTTTGACTTTTTGATATAGATTATAAGCTTTTTAATTTTTTTAATAATTTTTTGACTTTTAAACTAAAAGTATTGTATGCCAAACAAGACCAAAAGTGTAACATAAATCACATTTAAAAAAAGCGGCATTGAATTTCTTAGCATTGAATATCTTTACTCCTCTCAATTTCTAATTATACGATAATATCTTAAGGTTTTTATCATATCATATGATTAAAGTGCACAAAAAAATATAAAAGTGAACTCTTTTAATTTCTATTTGATTTATTTATATATATTATTTTGGTTGCCTGTATTCCCCTTCCACATGGATAAGAAAATTGGTCAAAGTCAAAGATTAGTGATGTTAGGATCATTGCAATTTTTCAATAAATAAATAATCATAATGCATAGTCATATAAGATAATTGTATGTATGAACAAAATTGCTTTAGAGCTCTAAAAGAGCACCTCTAAATTAGTATTAAATTGTCTTTTAGTGGCTTTTGTTTTGTCTTTTTCTATTTTTTTTTTTTTTTAATTGGGTGTCACCTCATTAGAGCCAGCTCTAGTTAGAGCTCTCAATCACTCCCTATGTATGAAACATTTTTCACCTTGAAATAGAGAGAGAATTTAAAACGAATTACTATATATTGCAGAATAATTCATGAAATCACTTCATCTCCAATGTGATTTCCCTAGTAGCATATAAATCTAGAAAGATAATTCTTCTTCCTAATTTTTCCCTTTCAATTTCACCCATAATGATGTGTCATTAAAGGAGATTAAAGATGAGAGAAGGGGTGTGGAACTGCTTTATATGAAACTTAACCACATCATTGAGAGTAAAATTAAGTGGACAAATTAAAGAGATGTAGCGTGAGTGACAAGTCTAATTATTTTTTTAAATGTAGTGAGTCTTACATATATAAACATAATTCTATTACAAAATGGAAAAATAAAACTAATAATAAATAGTAATTTTTCAAATTTAAAACAAAAGAAGAGAGAAGAATGGAATAGAGGATCCATACCCAGAATGGAAGAGAAAATTGCGCTGACATTTCACATTGTTGTGTCTGAGGTGGGGGAGCAGTCACCATCCTTTCCAACTCATGAAAAATGTTTTCGTTTTTCACTGAATCAATCATACCCAAAAAGATTAATTTTAATTTAACTAAGACACCTTCAAAGCCACTCATTTTCTTTTTTCTTTTTTAAATTTTGTGTAACAATGGGCCACTGGGTTTGTTCATACGACCCACTATATAAAAGGACAACAATATTTGAAATCACTAATTAGACTTATTACTAATGATGTACCCACTGTCACAGTGTTTGCTGTGCCTTGTTTGTTTATTTTTTTTTTGTGTGTTTTTTTTTTTTATTTTTCACCTTATTAGTGGTGAATTTAGAGCTCATTATTTAGAACTCTAAACCATTACTGATAAAAAAGAAACTCCAGGTTTGTTTCTCTTTTGCCTTGTGTCTCTCTCATCATTTATTAAATTCCTGCTTTCCAGGCAATGTGTAGCCAAAATAATTTAAAAAAAGATGTGTATTAACATTAGGTCAATTGAAATTAAAAGATGGTACAATTTTCTCATAAATATATCAAAAATTATTTTAAATAAAAATACAATTATTGATTTAAATTATTATTATTTCATATTTTAAGATAAATATATATAAATATATATATTTGTTTGCAAAAAAGAGAGAAAATACACTAAGGCTCATTTTGAAAAGTGAATTAAAAATCACTTTTCAACTTTTAACCCACTTCATCTCTCACATAAAAAAGTCAAAAAATCAAAATAGTCAAAAAATTAACTTTTAATTATTTTTCCAAAACACCTTTAAATGTAAATAAGTGATAGGATCCTTGCCTCCAGTCCAAGTTGGAAGCCTTTTATTAGGGGTGTTCGTGGATTGGTTTTGTGCGGTTTGCGGTTCGGTTTTGACCCGCCCGCATATATGCGGTTTGGGAAAAAGTCAACCCGCAACCGCCCGCAGTGCGGTTTGCGGTTTGTGCGGATAGGGTTTGCAAATGTGCGGGCGGTTGCGGGCGGTTTGCGGTTTACACTTTTTTTCTTTAAAAATTAATTTTCGAGTTTTTTTTCCAGCGAATTTAGGCATCAAATTCATTTTATATATTTGTGATAACAATTTTTTGATGAGTTTACAAATAAAAATTGAATATCAATGCATTAAATGAAAGTACCCAAAGCAAAGAGACTCTACACTAGCATTTTTGCCATGAAAAAAATGTATATCAATGCATTGAAGGCTGTACTCAATTAGAATTGCCAGTTCAGTAATCAATAATCAAACTATAAGTTCCATCGACCATTAGAAGGAAAATTTTATTAAGAAAAAGTGGATGAATCACCAATGAAAATCATATAAGAAACCAAGTTTAGGACTTGATAATTCTACGGCATTAAGAAAGTTGAGAAATACTTAAAAATAAGGATCATAGTGTCATAGATAATATAATGGTGCTCCTGTAAAAGTTACAAAGTTGGTATATAAAAAAAAAATAGTAGTAATAATAATAATAATAATTAAAGTGCGGGCGGTTTTTGCGGGTTGCGGGTTTAAACCGCGACCCGCCCGCAACCCGCAAATTTGTCATATTTCAAACCGCATCCGCACGCATTATGTTTGCGAAACCGCCCATTTATATGCGGGTTGGGCGGATTGGGCGGTTTGAGCGGTTCGGATAAACCGTTGCCCACCCCTACCTTTTATGCCCATCCCGACTTTGTCTTTTGTGGTCTAAATCATTCATTTGGTCTTAAACGGATCATCCATGAAAATTTTTAGATTGACCAGATATCAATAAAAACATATTAATATCACATTTGTTTTATAAAAATTAACTACAAGTATGATTTTGAAAAATAGGCCATCCATTATTTTAAAAATAAATATAATTTAAATATGTAATAATCAATATTCAATTAAACTGTTTGAACTAGCTGTAAAAGTAGTTAAATTGGTTACTCCAGTACTCATTACGTGCGTGACTGTGGTATTTTTACTTGGGCCGTAGTTGCTTCTTTCCAAGGTAGACTTGGGCTTCATTTTTTTAAAATTTGTTTTTATTAAAGTGGGTTCTTGGGCTAAATAAATGTTGGCACGCCACATCTAAGTTGGGCTAGTTCTTGGTACAAACAGTGGGCTTTTTTTTTTCATTTATTTTTAAATATTTCAAAAAATCAAACTATTTATCCAAATAACTCACTTTTCAAACTATTTAGCAAAATAACTTACTTTTTAAAAAATGCAAGTTCAAACTATGATTTTATCGTAAAATCGCAGTTTCAAAATGTAATTTCATGGTAAAATCGTATCTTAAACTTGCGATTTCATATTAACATGACCCATTGGTGTTGCAGACGCGTGTCATGTCAATATGGAATCGCATCATAGTGAAATCACATTTTGAACTTGTTATTTTAAAAAGTCAATTTGATAAATAATTTAGAAAGTTAAATATTCTTATGAATAGTTTAATTTTTTAGAATATTCACAAAATAAAACCTCATCTAAGTTGGCATATATCATAAGTTGGTTTTCAATTTAAAACGAAACGAATTTAGATAGTCCATCTCTAATAAAAATAATAAGGATTCATAGTACTTTCCCATTGATTAATTTTGATTAATGCTGTAACATTGATGGGTTATTTATAATGTTACCTCTGGATCTCTAAAACTCAAGTACAGTCGCTCTCTCAAACCTCAAACCATTACTGGACTAATTAATTAGAGCATCAACTATGAGGTGTCAACTATATAATTCCCACAAAATTGCTGAGAATTATGAAATTAACGTGACCCGATGGATTAAACCGGATCCAATTCAAACCCGACCCATTGACAGGGCTTTTTGATGAAGTCATTAATTCAAGTGAAAGGTATTGGGTTGTTTGGCTTGTGCAAGCATCTGAACAACTTCCCTCATTGTTGGCCTCTCCACACTGTGCTCTTCAACACACAACATTGCAACAAAGAAGACTTGCATTGCTTCATCTAATGGAACATTTTTCAGTCTCTCATCTAGGATCTTTACTACTCCTTCTTTGCTCCAATTTGTTTCCATCTTGGTCCATTGGACAATGTCCAACCCTTCTTCTCCGAAATTGCCCACAGGTCTCCGGCCTGTTATG